TGTATGCCGAGCGGCACATTTATACACTGGTTATTTCTTATTTCTGTTTTAAATTGTTTTACTTCTGCAAATTTTGATTTCTTTTCCGCAATTTAGGCTTACCTAGTCGTAGAGACTAGGAGCCGTCACGATGGTTCACGGAGGGCGAACCGGGGTCGTGACAAGGGCTAACCAAAACTCTCTTACTTCTCGCCACGAGAGTAAAAAACCCCATGACGGAATAATTTGGGAGAGTAGAGATGAGTTAGATGGTAAAAAGTAAAGGGTAATTGATCCAGATTTGACAAATATCTAAGGCATGCTACTGCCCTCCATACAATAGGGCCAATTTGTCCTAAACATACATCAAAGAAACGGCAAAATTCAATGATAACTGGGTCAATAGGTGGTCTAAAACCTAATGTGAAGGGATATGTATACACGAAGGAAAAACCAGATTTAAAGGAAGTGATCCTTTGATTCTAATTAGGGACCAGAATTGGGAAGTCAAATTTCCAATGGCAATCTTTAAGCACAACAGAAACTAAACCCTCAGTGATCTGGGAAGGGTAAACATCAGCGCGGTCATGAGAAGTCATGGAAGTAACCTGATTTTTAATTGATTCTCTATCTGTGATAAAGGAAAGTTCAGCAGGAGTAATCACATCGACAGTAGGTTCACGAAGCGGTTCGCTAGAATCTCTATTTCGAGCAGAAGATCTACATGGAAAAGAAGCCCTAGTTCTAGAAGAAGATGGAGGAGTAGAACTGGGTTGAGAAGAAGAACCACGTACAGAAACTGACCCTAAACTACGCAACCTACTACCTCTCCTACTTCTAATAGGAGCAGAAGAAAGGGGAAGTTCATCTACAATGAGAACTTTTCGAGGATCAGGATTTGAAGAAGACATAATTTTATGAAGAAGTAGAACGTATTGAAGAACAAGAACAAGATGTGAATAAAGGACACTGAAGAAAATTATTTCGTGAAAGTGAAGGCAAAGGATGTATTTATATACAGAAGCAACCGTCATGCAAAAAGGTAATGATGGAAACTCCATTATGAAAACTGTCACTTCGTGATTAATGCAGCCGCAAAAAAGCCCTACAACCCGCTGAAGAGTTGCAGAACCAATCGATGATTGCCACGTGTCACATGCATTAAATGGAAGTGACATACGACGCATCAGTTCAGAAGAAGGTATAATGGTACATGAGAAACGGCAGCAAAAATTCCCGCCTTAAACGAGATCCGCTTCCCAAATATACAATTGCTGAATAATTGGAAAGTGGGGGGCTATCTCTATTGGGGAAAATAAATATTACACGTGGAATTAGTTATGTGGATGACATGGCAAGACATGTGGATCACTAGAACGACAGCTGGAGAAGAATATTTGAAAAGACGTGAGTCTTAATAGGTACGAGCAAAACGTCTAAAAGACAAGAAGAAACGGTTGCTCGAGTCTATTTAGTGATTTAAAGAGGCACCGGTGGAATGAACCAAGACCGTAAAAAGGAGATATCCATTGATCTTCAATTGGTGAGCATGAATGGTTACAAACGTTACAGAATCTTCACGAAACAGTTACAATTACCAATTATAACGTTTCATTAATGTCATTAATGCTCATAATGACTCGATCATAAAAGGAAAAAAAATGTTGTACTTAGAGATGGCTATATAAGGAACAGAAATGTCATATGTATGGACACATTCCGATTACTAGTGGAATATAATTATTTACTTTTGCTTTCTACTAATTACTTGACTATTCTAATTTTCATTCTTTCTTATTGCAAGAATATTAATTTTCTTGATTATCAGTAACCCGAGTACTTCTAAAAATAGGCTTTGATCGAAATTCCTGTTTACAATATTCTTTCTCTGCTCTAATCTTTTTGTGGAGCTTAATTAGAGTTGAAATTCCTATGACCTCTCAAACTAAAGAACCTTTTTTAGAAGCCACGTACATGTATTTTAGTCCCAAACAATGGGGAAGGGCGAATCTACGAATATAGTAGTTAAGGGCAAGGTAGACCATAATCATTTATTGATTAAGTTCTGCAAATAGTCAAATTTGGAATTAATGGAAAACGTGAAAATCTTAATACACAGAATTTATCAGCTAAAGTTGATGATTAGACAAAGATGGAAAGGTTTTCTTCTTAAGGCACTACAATTACAACTTTTGACTTGAAGCAAGAGGATTTGGGTCCATGAAAAATATGTTGGCCATGGAATCTTGATACTCCTAATTGCACCTTAAACAAACATAATACTAACCCCTGTTTGAAGTTAAGGTTGTAAATATTTGACAACATATGTCCCACTAATCAACTGATTAGCATCACTATATATGTACTAACTTACTGCAGAAAATTCTCTTTTTCTTTTTAATTAACCGCTTTTATTGCCAAGATCATGAAAATAAGCTTATTACTTGGTACATACAATTCTATGATCTCACTTTAAACTTTCTTCCTTTTTTTCTTGTTCTGTATTTCTTTTTAAACTCGTGCACACAATTTTTCTCCTACAAACGATGAGTATTTTACTGCCAAAAGAAAGGTAAGTAAGTTCTTATTATTCAACTCTTTTTTTGTAAAGAAACTAATAGCCGGTTTGATCAAGTTTCTAAAATCAACTTATTTTAAGAAGTGTTTTTTTTTCTTAAAAGTATTTTTGGGGAGAAATAGTTTTTGTTTGACTAATTAATTTTAAAAGTACTTTTGAGCAACAATTAGTGGTTGGCTAAGCTTTTAAAAAGTGCTTCTAAGTGTATTTTTCTCAAAAGTTCTTTCAAAAAAGTATTTTTGGAAAGAAATTACTTTTTTCTACTTTTCAAAAATTACTTATACTTGTACTTGAAAATATTTTTTACCTTCTATAAGCTTGGCCAAGTACCTTAACCTTTAAAAAAAACTATTTTTGATAACAAAAAAAATACTTTTGGATCAAAAGAAGCTATAAATCAGGAAGGATATGTGGTATGATTCAATGATAATCATGACTTCACAGAATCTTTTGTGGTCGGGTCAGTCCCAATATTTTTTTTTTAAAGAAATGGCATTAGCCTTTTCTTTGAGTCTTTCTCTATGAATATATTTTAGTCCCTGAACTTGTTAAATTGTCAATTATTCTCTTACCGTCAAGAGCAGTAGTGAGTTTCAACAAGAAACAAAATATAGTAAAGTGGTAATTTAAGAAAAATAGTATTTTCAAAATAAGTTTAATCTTAGGATGATTAAGCTTATATGAAAGTTAAGTTTCAAAATTTGATTTTAGAATCTATTAGTACTCGCTAGTTAATTTGTTGTTACTTAGGAGTACTGTGGAGACAATTATCATTTTTAGCGTTTCCGTCTAAGACCAAAAACAATAAACCCAGAGGGGCTCAACACAGTTCGGGGCCTAAAGCCAAACTGTAATTAGGGGCCTTAAGTTCCTCTACAATATATATATATA